TACTCGCGTGTAATAATAATTATTGAAATGAAGAAAAAAAAAAATGCTGGAAAATCATGACCACTGTTAATTTTATTATTTATCTGTTAGTAGTTCACAGTAGCCTGTAAAAAATGATCATCCCTAGTGTAAACTTTGTCGTAAAACTGTATGGTATGGGGTATGGTGTCACTTTTACATTTTTTATCTTATTTCCTTTTGGAAAAAGTAACGGTTCATTGCGCTTGTTAACATACGAGTACCTTTTCTCATCCTCTTGAAAATATTCCCTTCTTGTGTTCCCTTTGTACACCTACATAAATGTAATATATACATGGATGGGAACTATGTTAGGTATTAAGTTCTCTAAAAGTTTACCGAACAAATTGTGAAAGCAAAATCTACGGAGGAGGGAAAACTAGACCAAAATATTCTTTCAAATTCGATTAGAAACGTTCTATTGGACAAACTTATTATTAAAGAATATACTACTCTCTCGGATTAATAATTTTTTTACTATGTTAATAGAAAAATAGGAAAAAGAAACCAATCAAATGAAAGATACGAAGGGTGAAACGACTCACTTGGTATAATATTTCTATTTGTTTTCAACTCTCTCTCTCTCTCTCTCTCTCTTCTTTCTCTCGTTGGTTAAAGTTTCGCATTATGCATGCACAGAGGAAAATAAATATGCGCATGCGTGCATGCGGTCGAAGGATGCGGTTCTCTCGCGCGAATCCACGCTTTTTCTCGCAATTCATATTTAAAAGGAAACGCGGTTTACATTTTGTTTCCGTTGTAGACGACGGCTAGGACGACGACGACGACGACGACGACGACGACGAGGATGAGGACGAGGACGAGGACGAGATTCAAAGAATGCAATTATGTTCAGCTTCTCGACGTAAAACGTCTTTTCATTTTATGAACAAATCTTCTTTATTTTTTTTTTCTCTTCTCTATTTTTCCTCCAATCTGTTTATCCGTCTATCTTCATTCATCATTTATATGTGTATCTATTTTTGCACGAATTTTCATTGACTTATTTTCAAAGACATACGATTCAATTTTAATCAAATTATTTCTAGTTTTCGTTTATAATTTTCATTTTTCTTCACGAGGATAAATTATTATCTATTTACCTCTCTTCCTTCCATCTATGTTGTTTACTTAAGCATTCGTCTATTTGTCTATTGACGTATTTACTTATCATTCCACCTAATTATCCCTCCATCTATTTATCTATTTATCATGTAAGCTATGCAATTATTTATCTTTCCATTCAAGAAGCTTTACACTAAAGATTCTGCGAGTGTGTTTCAAGAGTATTATAAAATATTACATTGAATTAATTATTTATCTATTTAATCATTTCTTTCTCTTCTTTTGTATCATCTTCTCATATCTTATTGAGTAGAATTGTCCATCTTTCTTTTCAACTCGTATTAGACAGTACGAGAAATCCACGTGGAATTAATTTTTTGGTCGTTACTTATTACACACGCATAAGGAAACATTTGGCATAACGCAATGTTATTCTTACATTAAGAAGATATATTTGCTTCCCCGATCTTTGAAGTCGAACAAAGTCGAATGAACTTAATTGAAAAGTCGACTGAATATTGAAGAAAATAGGGGAAAATGGGGAAAATGGTTTCAGAGAGAGATATACCACGAGTTACGATAGAAAATGCAAACGAATTAAAGTACGACGGACAGAGAGAAAGAAAGAAAGAAAGAAAGAAAGAAAGAAAGAAAGAAAAAGAAGAAAGAGAAAAAGAGCTTTCAGTGAGCTTTATAAAATGCAAGAGAGTTTGAATTTCTTACGAGCCAATATTAAGAAAACCCGTCTTCCTTCTCTAATTTTTCTTACCATCTTTTTCTTTAATTGAGAGACACTGAAAGTATACAGAATTCTTAACAGAGAAAAAAAAAAAAGAAAACGAAAGGTAGATAAGAATTTCATAGATTTATAATTATAAAAAAAAAAAAAAAAAAAAAAGACAGGACCAGATAAAGATTCGATTAGGTTCATCACGCATACGGGAAATAATTCCATTAGTATGATAGTTAGTGAAATTTGCTGACAATTAACAGGGGAATAATTTGAAACCTTCAAAGTCTCTAACCATATAACTATACATATTGTGCATGTTGTAGTAGACCCTTGATTCGTCACATGCCGGCGGCCTTTGCGTGTTACTGACATCCTCAACGTGCTTCGTTTCATGTACAATTAACGTACGTAATTATTCGATCCATTGCCTCTCAGCAATTTTCGGGTCTAAGGATGCTCGACAAATGGGACAGAACAGATCATGATTGTTAATCAACTTCTATTTATTATCATTTGTTATTGTTGTTCTTTTTCTTCATTTTTCTACAATTATTGTTTTAAATATCCCCTGCCCTACCTCCCTCCCTCCCTCCCTTCCTCTCTCTCACTTTCATATACAATCAGATAAGAATGAAATATGAATCAGATATAACCATGTTATAATTAAATGAAATGGATACCACGCTTGTCGACGCGATACCAAATGCGGTGGCACGTTTCGATAATCGATATCGAGTAGTAATATCATCGGACGATCCAATTAACAAAACTAACGATCAACAACCTTTCCCCAGTTGCAATTGCATTCACGTATAGATATATAAAAAGACGATGACTAAAGATTGAAAAACTTCTATGATAGAAAAAATAATCAACAAGAGGAGGAGGTGTAGTAGTATATGTGGAAATTCATATAAAATATGATTTATTCATTAAAAAGTAAATTGATATTCAGATTTGTGATCGGATAAAATAAATAACTCGAAAGGGTTAGTCGTTTAATAAATATTTTTCTACATATGCTGGGATTGCATAAACTTCATTAACATGACGTTAGTAATAATAGTATTATTACTAATAATAAAAGTTTGTACAATAGTAGTAGTAGTAATAATTGTAGTAGAAGGAAAAAAGAGAGAGAGAGAGAGTTAGTTATTTGGAGTGGAAAAAAAGAAAGAGAAAAGAAGAGATAGATAGATGGATATATATATATATATATATATAGTATACACGATGAACAAGTTTCAATGGATTCAAAGCAGAGAGTAAGCTCGTTTCAAGCGTAAATAATTCGCAGAGAATTCCGAAAGGGCTTGCAAGTTTTCTTCCATCTCAAAAAGGAAGAGAAAGAAAAGTGGGAAGGAAGGAACGAACGAACGAACGAACGAACGATCGAAAGAGAAAACCATGGACGATGAACTTGGAAATCTTGATCGTGCTCCATCGGCCCAGAAAAAGTCTCAAACACTCCCACCACCCTTTCCATTCTCTACCTAAAGAAAAAGGAAATCCACGAGAGAAAGAATGAGAGAGAGAGAGAGCAAGCTGATAAACTCGATAGGCCAAAAAAAAAAAAAGAAAAGAAGAGAAAAGAAAAAGAAAAAGGGCTGAGAAGGAGCTTGGAAAAATATTTAAAGAAAAAAAAAAAATAAGCCAGAGAGAGAAAAAGAGTTGTAAAAGGACCTATGCAAAGCTGCAAACTATCGTAAACTCTTTCCATCTCTTTCTGTTTATCTGTTCAAAAATCTCTCTTCCTTTATTTCTTTATTTCTCTTTCTCTCTCTCTCTCTCTGTTGTAACTAAGCACTTAATAGAAAATAAATGAACCATTAATAATTTTCTATCGGATTAAAGGAAAGTGGTAAACTAGAAGGACAACTTTTATTCGATTCACCATCGAGTTGTACAACTCGATTGAACTTTAATCGTTCTGTATTCGAACACCCTATATACGCTATCACATACTTATGTACTTAGTAATATGTACAGTATATGTACTAATGGAGGATACACTCGTATCGAAGTAAAACGGGTTTACGAAGTTGAGGATTACTTCTTGTCAATACCATAAACTCGTAAACGAACCATAAATGAGAGAAACAAAGAGAGAGAGAGAGAGAGAGAGAGTGAAAGTGATAATGACAGTAAGAGTGAAAATCGAAACTCTTCGAATTAGTAAATCGTCATCTTCATTTCCAATTTAATCGTGCGGATGTATCGGTTTACAAATTACAATTAACAGACTAATTGAAATCCTGTTGAATGCTATTTAATGATTCGAAACTTTGTCGTCTCTGGGTATACCTTATTATAATTATTTATTTCAAATAAACAATTGTTCATATTTTTATTCAACAAACCTATTGTGTTAATTGTTACATTAATGTATTGCATTATTTTACTCAATTATCAGATTATTTTTCAAATTTAATCAAACAATTCCATTTAATTATTACAAATTATTTTGGCATATAATTGGAATCATTTTCATAGAAATAATTATCTACAATAACAATTTGAATATATTATTAAGAGTAAATAAATTAAAACGAATCAAGCAGAGTGCATTCAATTAGTACAAAATTATATAATTATTACATAATTATTATAGGAATGTTCTTAACAAAAAAATATAACGTTACATACATATTACAAAGCATTCGTGCATTCATGTGTTAAATAATAAATAAATAAATAAATAAATAAATAAAACTCAAACGAGCCGAAAATAGAATAAGAAAAATGATTTTAATCTTGACAGAGAATATTTATCATGAAAAGGTTGTACATCCAATTGAAATAGTTAAAATAATGGCGATATTTCATCTATGTGGTACAAAGTATCATAAATCTTAAGAGGATGTAGGGTTCTCGTTCGATTGTTATAGGTAGAGTATTACATACACACATACTTCTCTTGTAAACGATAACAAGACGAGAGAAGCTGAGAGAAACGGTCTTTTGCTTCTGAAAACGATCAGTCATTGTTCAACTTTCCAAGAAAGGGAATTCTCTGCAGTTGTGCACTCTTTCACCGCTTACATAATAGCTAGAGAGAATGAGTAAATAGAAACTGCTAGAATAGATATGTAACAACTAGGAGATGTGTCCAAAAAAGTAGAACAAAACTTAATATAACATCGAATTACTTTCTTTAATTTTTGATGTCATTTTTTCTTTTCAGAAACAAACAGGATGAAACGATCGTCGATGATATCAAAGAATTTCCTGCTACGAGTCAGCCTTTATGCTCTTCTAATTGCTGTCAGTTTAGCTGCATCTACGAGATCACGTAGTAAGAAGAAGGTAACGAAGGAAACGAAGGAAGTGAACATCTGTGACATCCAAAACCAAGAAGCACCAATATTTTGTTACTGCGATAGCAATGCATTAAGAAATGCAACGACTGCGAATTGTTTGGTGTTGAACAAATTCAAGGTAGATGACCCTATGTGGAACTATTTCGTATCACAGATTCATCTTACGAAATTAATGTTCACGGTTCGTGCATCTGGTGGTCTCGATTACGTACCAAGCAATGTTCTAAAGCAATTTAAAAATCTCAAGAGTATTTCATTGGAATATGCAAAACTTACGGAACTTGCCGAAAGATCTTTCTCCAATCTCTCCGAAGTTACTGAGATCGACCTGAGCAAGAACACGATTGCAGTTCTGAAAAAATACGCTTTTGAAAATATGAAGGAATTGAAAACCATCCTGTTGGACGACAACAGGATAACTGAAATTAATAGGTGAGTTTTGCTTTTTTTTTATTGTTCCATGATATATAGAATTGTCATTTATTTTTAAATAAAACAAGGTGTGAAAAAAAGTATCGGAGATATAAAAGAAAAACAAAAAAAGGAAACTTTAAAAAATGCTGTCGTTAATATGGTAAATAGAATGTGTATGAAATATATGCGAAGTCATTTTAACTCTCGGTAAAAGCCTATAGTTTTGTACATATGTATATATATATATTTATATTCGCGCGCGCGCATGTGTGAGTGTGTGTTAGAGAAACACAAGAGTTAGTTATTCATTGCTAGCAGTGGTTCGCACGAAACGAGAGGAGCCACCACGTATTTTTTACACCCCAAGGGTGACACACAATTTCCGAAGAGCAGCACTCAAGGGCTTAAGGGATTCGTGCTTTCATTTGTTTTCCCTACGGAAGAGGCTGATCAGTCTTCTTTATTAAAAAAAAAAAAAGTAAAAAGTAAAAAGTAAAAGGTAAAAAGTAAAAAAAGAGAGGGAAAAGTGTGACGCGTTTGCCAACAAGGGTCGAGACATCGCCACTCGATGAAATTGATGGGAATAAAAGTTTCCTTAACTCGTTTTGATATAGTCATCGATCTACTCCCACTACCGAAAAAACAAAATCTTCGTGAGAGGAAGAGAGAGAGAAAGAGAGAGAGAGAGAAATGATGCACAAACACATGCAGAGTTGATTTAAATAGTTGGATATTTTTGGCGAACACACATCCATCACGCGTTTCAATCGATTCACTATCATCCTCTTTTACTCTTCTATCAAATGTGACACGTTGAACGACGGGGAAAAGATGGTGTGATTCGAAATGACGATGATAGTACCGAGTATCTCTCTATCGTGCAAGATGAAACCAAAAACATGATTCGCAAAGATGAAATAGAAAACGTTTTTCAAAGAGAGATATATGACAAATGCATACGCATCTTTTCCCATTCTTTTGACACACTAATACTCCTAGACGTTTCTTCTATTTTTCTTGTTTTTTTTTTTCTTTTTTTTTATTTTGACAGATGAACGCACCTTCATTTCAACTTTGCGAATATAACTTTTCTCATAACTTTTTCTAGTAGTTTTTGTTGAGATTCTAATCTAGATTATTTTTATCTAATTTATACCTTTCTATTATTCTATCTCTTTTTGTCTAATCCTCTCTCTCTCTCTCTCTCTCTCTCTCTCTCTTTTGTGTTTTATTTTGCTATCTACAGGTAAATGTGTTCGTATTTCACAATGACGTCTTTTCGATTACATCAAAGCGTAGGTGCCTACGGCAGCACGTAATATCTGACGAGGATGTCTCTGCATCGCTTTCAAGTCGTAAATATTCAGATGCAATACTTCGACGGGGAGATTAAATATGCAAGCCTGAAAACTATTCTCTCCCCCATCTGTCTATTGCTCCCTTAATACGATTTTTGTTTATTTCGGATATCTTTTAGTTCTACTACATCCCCTTCCATTATTAATTACTTTTAAATGTAAATGTAAATTATTTTTTTAAACATTACTTCGAGACGTGTTGATATTTTCTATTCTTTTTATTATAGAAATTCTTTCCTTCCTCTGTTTGAATATCAAACGTTTGATCAAATAAAAAAAAAAAAAAGCAAACAACTAAAAAACATTTATTTTATATTGAAAAGTTTCATATATCGAGTATTTGCATAGAGAGAAAGTGTTGTCTTGAATATATGCAAGGTTTATCGGCTTTGATATAGTACTTTAGTTTAGTGCGTAGCTTGATATAGGAGTATTGTTTTTAATATCACAACGAAACTTAGAACTCTTTCCCTCTTTTTGTCTACGTATCGAATGTTTAGTAAAAATAGGAACACAAAAAAAAAAATAAACTTATTCGATATCAAAAGGCTGGCTCGATATATTGAGAACGTACGTACGTACGTACGTAACGTGAACAAAAAGTATTATTTAGAATATATGCGTGGTTTTTATCGGTCGTGATGTAGTACTGCGTGTTCAACCCGTTATTAAGAGTAACAAAAATTCTCAACATACGAATACTTCAGCCTTGGTCCAATAAAAAGATAAACGACAATTTACAATCACAAATAAATGGTTAATCTACAAATGTACATATTTATGTATTTAATTGTATTTAATAATTAATCGTATGATTGTTTGAAAGTTTATAATCTAATTAGACGATCTAATTCTGTTTACAGAGATGTGTTCGTGAACTTACCAAACTTAGCAACACTTAATCTAAACAACAACAACATCACCACCGTTCATGATAAAGCATTCAAGCATCTAATCAATCTACAAGTGCTTTTACTAAATTCGAATGAAATATCAGTGATCACGCGCGAGAGTTTCCACGGTTTGCGAAATCTTAAACATCTTGATCTTCGAAATAATGAAATATCGATGATCGGTGATAGTAGCTTCGTTGAAATACCAGAATTGATCGAACTCGAACTCGATCAAAATTCGATCAAATATATCTCGGAAAAAGCATTGGATGGTTTGAGAAAATTAAAGAAACTTCGTCTAAGCGAAAATAAATTAGTCAGTTTAGAACCAGACTTCTTATCCGGTGCACCGAGTATCAATTTTCTTGATCTTAGAGAAAACAACCTCAAAACTATGACTTTTAACAACATCAAACCGATCGTCACGAATCTCTACAACAGCAGCAGCCATTTCTACTTGGACGGTGAGTACTCTCTTCTATCCATGAATTTACAAACGTTCAATTCATTTTAATTTTACATTACAGTTGTGTGTTTAATCTGATTATCAAAGATATTAATTTTTCTCGGAAAATCAATTATACAAGGTTCGAATTTTAAATGAGATTATTCCCGCTGAAATAATTCTCCTGCTAAATAATTGACAGATATTTAAGATAATAGGAAAATATTATCACGATTACTATAATCATTGTTTTAACTATTAGAGAGATGTGCTAAAGCTATCGATAGGATCGTCATTATTTCGGTTATTTCAGATTTGGTATTGATAACACGAAACGTTATCTCCGTTATTATCGCTATTATTTCGGCCATTCGATGACCAACATTCCGAAAGATAGACAATGCCGATAATGAGAAATATCTATCTAACAATATGGTTGAATCCTATGGATAATAATTCATTCGAGAGAAGAATTATTTTACGATATTAAACCAAAACAATACTAATTCACAAAGCTCAAAAATTATCATAATTTATCAAGGTACATGCGCGTAATTCCGCGTTTCGCGTATCTACAATAAATATCATTTACTGTAGTGTAAATCTACGTTATATTAATAAATATTTATTTATATTTGAAATATATATTATTATATTATTTTTCAACAAATTTACGTATCCACACACCACACACACGCGCGCGCGCGCATATGAATATATTACGAATTTGACTATTATAATAATACGGGTATCGAATAGAATGAACAAATAAGTTAATTTACGAGGGGTTATCGATCAACTCGTAATACACTAGCATTGTCAACACCTGTTGACAAACATTCTCTAACAAAGGATCGATCAACAAAAACAGAACAAAGCAAATGAACGTTTCGTATTAGTTAGTCGTAGTATGTGCATGAATCAACGAATGAGAGTGGGTTTTTGTTTGGTCTTTCCTCGATGTTCAGTTTCATTTGGATGGTTAATGCGTGGGACAAATGCGTGGGTCCCATGGCACGGCACGACACGATACGACACTATACGGTAAACTCGCGTACAAGTTGCGAACCCCTGATGATCGTATAAAGGGAATAAGGTCTTCCTGTCTCCGATTGGACAACGACGCTACTACTAGTAGCAACTCGACAAGTTCGAACTGTGAATGGCACAGAAGCAACAGAGAAAACTAACGACACTGACCACAACTAACAATAACAACACAACTAGAAACAACCAACAGATGATCGTCGATAGTTTTGGAAAGTTAGTTACTTATTCCTTCCTCTATCGGAATCCCTTTTGTTCGAGGAAATGGCTTCTCCTTCTCATCCATTAGGAAGATGTTTGTTAAATGGACTCCGACCATTCGGTAGCTTCGGTAGCTTCGGTAGCTTCGGTAGCTCTATCATATCCGAACACAAAGATCAATTAATTCATTATATTACCTTTCTCAATTATTTTCCTTACTGATGTAATATGTTTTTTCTCCAGGTAGATTAGATTCTATTGCAATAACGTTAAAGTGCAGCAAAGTCGATCCGCAAGGTCAAGCAGAAGCGACAAAATTGTTGAATGAATAATGCCCTATGTCATTATGCTCGCTTTAATGGCCGACGATGATCACGCAACGAACCGATAAATGTGCTTGCGAACCTACAAGAATGTCCGCTTAAGTGCGCGACACCATATTATGTGTGAGAGGGTTATCGATTTTCTCTCTCTCTCTCTCTCTCTCTCTCCTCTCTCCTCTCTCTTTCTTTGTTCCTTTTACTACCAGCAAATATCGCAAATAATACGTAAATGGACACGTTAATGGCTTCCCCATGTTTGCTTCTAACTACGAACTACACACTTGTTCTTTCACTTCAACGATCCTTCTCGTTCGTTTTCGAAATCATGTTTATAAGAAAATCGATTAGAAGAAATTGAATACAACTCATTCATTTCAAAATTATATAACACGTATGATTAAATTGTGCAATTTATTTTAAACAAGTTAATAAGACAAGATAAATGAAACAAACAATGTATTTTATCCGTAATTAAATAATAATTAGAAATAAGTGTTAAAATATTTGAAAAAGGTGTGTTGTGGAAGAGAGAAAGCATAGGATAAATTAATGATACAAATTAAGATTCGCTTTGGGATTCGTAAATCAAGGAAAAGCTTGTAAGATATACGAAGCTCGTTCGAAGCTTGCTACCGAAGAACCGTGAGTGCTTTCGACTAATGCGATCGAGTGTTTGCCGGTGGAATCGTGAGCGAAGGAATTGATAAATTGATGGATGTGTGTAATGAGTGAGTGGGAGAAGGAATGTCGGTAAGAGAACAAGTATGTAATCGCGTGTATGTGTGCAAAAGAGAGAGAGAGAGAAATTAAGGCAAACCCAGTTACATGTGGTGTTAGACGTTACTGAAGTCTCCAGGGGTTCTCATCATCATCGAGTGTTACGAATTAATCAACGTTAATAAATTTCACGAAGAGAACAATGAATAGTTCTGGATTCTATTTTCATCAGCTAGGAGAATTTATTTTACTAACTAAAGCATAAAGATACGTAGTAGAAATTTCGATTCAAGTTTCTTATACCATGATGTAGAATATACTCGAACTACTTATTTTATATACATAGATATATATATATATATATATATGCGCGCCAATAATGGAAGCTCTTCTCTCTCGACGTATATGCCAAAAATTTTACGCGAAATGGAACAGTTCAATGCTCTTACCATATATACATATATATGTACATAGCTATCTCAATTTCTATACCATTTTCTATACTTATAAAAACAACATTAAATTTTATTTATTTTATTTTATTTTTTTTCAAAAATATGAATAGAAATTGTTGGAAAGATAAAGTCTCGTATTATAAAGGATTATTGAAATTTGAAATCCAATTAAAAAGCATATTTCCGAAAAGTTAAATAAAGTTCGAAGAATGGACAAGTACAGTTTTAATGAGAAAACTTAAGAAGGATTCGTAGCTGCTAGATATAATCGATTTAAATGCTTTAACCTATTTTTTCCTTTTTTTTTTTTTTGGTCGATAGAAGAACAAATACGCGACTTAGTCGATAACCTAAATTAATTAATTAATTAATCATTTTGTAAATGTCTGACGAGTATTTTGATTAATCCACGATGCTAAGAAACAATGAAATGGTTGATCAAATTGAAGAATGATAAGAGGTCTCTTTATGATTGTTAAGTATTTGCAGTTTTGCTCGTACCTTAGTGGTTTTTTCGATATTGAGGATTGAAAGGGATTAGGACGACTTTATCAACGTTTTTCAAAAGTTTCTCGTCGACTGACGACAAAAGAAGACAGAGAAAAAGAGAGAGATGGTGGATGAGCAGAAATAGATAACGAGGCTGGAACGTGCCCTCTTCGGCACCTTTAAAGCTCGAACCAGAAGCTTTATCCATAAAGCCGATTTACGGAAAATGCAATATTTGCCTGTCTCTCTCTCTCTCTCGCACTGTTTTTTTTTTCTTTTTCTTCTTCTCATAACTTTTTCACTCATCTTGCTATTCGATATATAGTTTTTATATTTCATTAATTGTAAATACAATGTTAATTTAATTTTAGTCTTGGATATTTCTTGATGTTTTTTTGTTAAATATACTTTTGATCCAATGCATCAGTAAAATGTAATTGACAAATGTTACATGATATTCGTTCTCCAATTCATTGTCATTAAGAATCTTGTTAATAATCCTCCATAGTATTTTGTCATTGTCAAGAGACATTATGTTGTTTTTTTTTTGGTCCGGTTCATTAAGAAAGTACCTACATCACTGTCCTCGTTTGAATAATTTATGGATAGTGTTTTTTTTTGTTCTTTTACACGTTAAAAGTTCATCTCGAATATGATTCAAATGACTTTGACTCGGGAATGTAATTAAAATGTATGGAATGTTATACGAATAGGATAATAAAAGGTCTCGTTTGAGAAGTCGAGAATTTTACAACACGTCAATTGTTCGTTTCGTTCGTAAATCTTCGATGTTTTTTTAAAATGTATACTACTTTTTTTGCGACAGATACAGCAAGGGAATAATAATGAATAACTAAAATTTAAATTTGTTTAATAAAAACAGTAGAAAAGGGAGAAACGAATTCAAAATTGACAAGAACGGTGGACAAAGTTAAAAAGAGACAAAATGTAATTTTTCTTTTTTTGTCTTTTTCAATTTGTTAACGTCAGCCTTGTTGAAGGTTCAGCGACCTTTTCGGTAGCAGTACTTTTCCTCGATAAGTTTGCCTTGATACGTCTTATCGATTTGTAATAGATTTGTCGTATGTGTCGTCTCCTCATAAATTCGACCGACAATGAGAGGAACGAAAATGTTGGAAAGCGATAGAAAACGTTCGATAGGTGCAACCTAGACAAGGATGGAACAAGAAAATGAAACACTGGGATAGAGTGAGAGAAAGAGAGAGAGGAAACTATTGGAAGTGTAAAAGAGAGAACAGGAGAGGAATGAGGCGGGGGGGGGGAAGAGGGGTTGTCACTTACGATCGGTTTTAAGTTCCTTCGAACGACCCTATTTTTATCGTGAAAGGTACATCCTATATACCTGTGATCCTATCGAAGTATTAGTGTGTGTGTGTGTGTGTGTGTCCAACCTGTGTGAGCGCTAGTGCGAATGTAATTGTCGAAAATTGATTGCCCCATCGCTCAGCTCGCACCTATTTATCACAAGACTCCTATTGTACACACCTACACACTGTAAAACGGGAAATTAGGATTTTCATGTAGTTTCATACATTTCTAAATATATTCTACCATTTTTTTTTCTTTTGTATATTTCATTCGTAATACTTTTAAATTGTATATACGAAACTAAGACGATTAACATTCACTCCTTTCGTCTTTTTTACAGCGTGAAATATTGACGAGCTCAGGATTTTATAAAAAAAAAAAAAAAATAAAATAAATAAAAAAAGATAAATAAGAGAGAGAGAGAGAGAAAATAAAGGAAAAGAACCCTCTTCGTTGTA